CTTAATAGTATTTCTCATGATTTTGACATTAAGTCATTTCTAAATGTTCTTTATAATTTTATAAGATAAGCCAAAGAATCCTTGAGTATTATTTAATAATTTAAACTTGAGACCCCGCCAGGGTCCTGAGGTTTGTAGCTGGGGGAAGCCAAAAACACTCAGCATACCGAAAACACCATTTACATACGGGTAGAGCACCATAGCCACTGCAATTGCCACAGCTACCACAAAAGCTGCTAGTCTCTATAGCAGTAGTCACAGCCACTGTGCAGATGGCACATCAGACTCTCAACTGCATTGACACAGGAGAGGCATCAGCAGAGACCAAAAAAAAGGAGGTCCTCTCTCCACAAAGCACACTCTGGAGCAATAGGAGAAGCATTATCTGATTTACAATAATAGGGGAGGACTTGATCACACCTGTCTCAGTATTGGACAGATCATTAGGCAGCAAACCAAGAGAGGAACAGTTAATCTATCAGATGGAGAGAACAAATCTATGGTTATTTTAGAAGGGAGGAGTGGGGGAGGGGGGATTGGATAAGGGGCATAAAGAATATGTATGATTTGTAACAATTAATATGCTAATAAAAAATAAATTTAAACAAAAGTTGAATTAATTATATTTTGGGCATAAATGATTTCTCAATGCCACTGGCTATATTCCCCAGTTTATGATGAATTCATTAATTCTGATTTCATTAATTCATTAATGCATAAGATATTAATTGGAGACTAAAGATGTTTTAAAGAAGGTATGTAGTAAGAATTATTGAAATAAAAGATGCCAAAAATTATAAACATCAACAAATGACCATTATTATATTCTTCTGGTATTAAAAAAACTATTGCAAATTAATCTATTTTATCAATTAATAATGTCAAAATAGGCAAGGAATTTTAGTTAAATATGCTCAGCATAAAAAATTAGTGTTCAGGTCACCATCTTTTTTAAAGGTACATAGGACTAAAATTAGTAAAATTATATGTGCAGGTAGGTATATATTACAATTCAAGCCAGTCGCAGTACAAAGCAACACTGCCTTTTTCTCAGATTGGCCTCTTTGAGTGCTTTGGCTTCCCTTAATGTTGGATTTGTTTTTTTCACTTTACTTTTACCCCTGACTATAATATGATAAATGATAATTTTAAGTCCCAGCTCACTGCTATGGGCCTCACAGATTTCCCTTCTCAAAGTTTACCAAGCACTTTAAATATGAACCACATAATGTTGCAGTATTGTTTTGCACTGATTGCTGTTGTTTCACCTGTGTTGCTCTTAGCACTTAAGCTAGATTTTAAATTTCCTGACAGAAAGGGCCGCACCCTGTCCTTCTGTGATAGTGACTGTGTGGTCAATCATGGTCAAATGTTTAATAAATAAACACATTCTGGTACATTAGTCTTTGCTTTTTTTTAATGTTAAACTTTTTGTTATAAAAACAATAAAAATGTGAACATGTTTGAAAATTATTTTTCTCTTAATGTATATATATTTATATGTGGTATATATCAACTGTAATCTGAAGACCCAAAGGCATTTGAAGTATAACCTTCTAGACCTTTCTTTCTCCATGTTGAAAGTATAAAGACACTCAATACAAATTTATACTCACTCATACACACTCTGTATAGATAGTGCTTTTTAAGTTGTTTGTGTTAGAAGCCTTGTAAATATTGTTCAGCTAGATAAAATATTGTGAAAATATTTTATCTAGCTGGATAAAGTATTGCGAAAATATTTTATAAAATATTGTGAAAATATTTTATCTAGCTGGATAAAGTATTGCGAAAATATTTTATAAAATATTGTGAAAATATACTGTAAAATATTAAATTTCAAAACATTATTAAATATCTTACATTCATAGGCTAAGTTTTGAATTTCCTGATTATTAAGTTTTTCACATCTTTTTAAGATGTGAAAATCTGTCATTGTAAAATACACACCAAATAAAGCCAGTACCATTATATAATTATTACACAAAAGATATTCTAGCAGTCATACAGAAAAGGCAGTATTCCCCTTATGTGATAAATTATTTGTAGAAGAATTTGATCAATAGCATCACATTACCATCTCCTGGAACAAACCTTATTTTATCTAACAATTTTGGGGTTTATTTGTTGGTTTTTTATCATAGCGTTAAATTTTGTTTTGAATACAGGAACATGAATTTTTTTCTAAACCTGGGACATTGTATTCTTGTAGGAGAGTTATTAGAGTTAAGAATAATAACATTTTAGGATTTATAGCACATTTACAATGCAGAAGTCAACATCTGTAATAAAAAGTGATATAAATAAAAGTGAAATTATTTTTACTTAATTCTGATTTACATTATATTGGATCTTTTTTCTTTATTGTTAATAACTCTTCCTTTTAGTGGGTGTTTAATTAAAGAACAGCCTTAAGAAATGACTGATGGGGGCCGGCCCGGTGGCGCACTGGATAGTGCGCCGCTTGGGAAGCGCGGCGGCGCTCCCGTCCGAGGGTTCGGATCCCACATACGGACCGGTTCCTGCTCACTGGCTGAACCAGGCGCGGGAGCAGCGCCGAGGGTTGCGGTCCCGTTGCCGGTCCCCGGTCCGGTGCGGGGGCAACACTGAGGGTTGTGATCCATTGCCGGACACAGAAAAAGGCAAAAGGCAAAAGACAAAAAAAAAAAAAAAAAGAAATGACTGATGCATTCTGTTTTGTGTTTTGGTCAAAGTAGGTTAATGGTCATTTATTTGAAATGGTTCTCTGCTTACACAAGCTAACTTCTAATGGTACTCAAGGGCTTTTATTACAATCTCATAAAAATGTGAATAGTTTTATCTCTTCCAGGAATTTTAGTCATTCTTTTGTCGTTTTGAATTTGTTAGTAATCCATGAAGAATATGATTCATTAAGTGTGGAAATCTTTGGTAAATTCATATTCATCACATTTTTATTATTTCTAAGGATTCCAAAAACCAACCAACCTAACTTTAGTTTTTGCTTTGTAACAAATGAAAATCTTTCAACAGCATATGGACCTTATCATACGTGTAAAAAGTAGACAGATAGTTCCCTTCAGATATGTGCATTCCATAGACATCTAATACTTGATTATATTGCACTGTACTAGAAACTAAATGGGCTCTAAAGGAAATAGAAAATATAGTTTTTGGCCTCCATGAGTGGAGGAAAAAGGACTTCCCTTGGCAAAATACACAGGACCATTCCAAGAAAATTCACTCTTGCTTGTATGTAGTGAACAAATATTAAGTATCAACTATATGCCCAACTCTTATTTTAGGAACTGGGAAATCATCATTGAACAAAACAGACAGAAATCCTGGTCTTTATGGAATATATTTTAGTGGGGGAGATAGACAAATCAAACAAGATACAGTAAGTAAAATGGATAATATATTGGGTAGTGACAAGTGGCATGGAGAAAAATAAATCAGGGAAAGGGCACAGGGAGTGGTAGGGCATTGCAATTTCAATGAGGATGGCTAAGCCAAAGTTTATCAGAGCAGAAGATGCTTGAATGAAAACCTAAAGGAGATGAGGAACTTAGTCATTAGGGTATCTGTGGAAAGAGTATCTGAGGCAAAGGAATATCAAGCAAGTGCATAAGCCTGTGGATAGGAGCATGCCTAGCATGTTTGAAGAGCAACAAGGAAACAAAGTGGGGTTAAAGAAGAATAAAGGGGATAAAGGAAGGGTATTATAATAATCCAGACAACAGATAATGGTGGCTCACAGTATTATGGTAGCAGTGGAGGTGGTGACAAATCAGGATTTGTTGACAATTGGATATGGGCTATGAAAAAGAGGGGAATGAGGATTTTTGGCTTGCCAGGTGGAAGAACTGGATTGCCATTAACTGAGATAGGGGATTCTCCAGGAGCTACGGTTTGGATGTGTTTGAGATATCTGTTAGTCATCTAAGTGGAGATGTCAAGCAGGAAGCTGGATATGTCATTTTGTGACATTTTAGGGAAAGGCTTCGCAGAAGAAATAAGCATAAGCAAGTGTGATCTGTTGGTAAACCACTCTGGAAAGTAAGAGAAAAAAATAATCAGTAAAGAAAAGGCTTCAGGGAGAAAGGTAAATTTTAAGCTGTAAAGGAAAGCAGAGATTCTAGGTAGGGGAAATGTCCTAGAATCTTAGAATATCATCTAGAAATAACTCTTAATGCTTTATTACTTTGACCATTTTTTCCCTTAGAACCTTTACAGTATGCCATATAGTATTATGGAACAACAGGTGCACAGGAAGTATTTGTTGACTCATAAATAAGAATAATATTTTTCCAAGTGTATTAACCAGTATTTAGTCATTGAAACTTAGGAGTTTTTTTTTTTAAGACTTTCTTTTTTTTTATTGTGGTAAAATATACATAAGATTTACCATTTTTAACCATTTTTAAGTATACAGATCAGTGGCATTAAGTACATTCTGAAATTTATTGGCATTGTTGCTATGACCAAAAGCAATTTAGAGCTGATTGTGCTTTACTTTCAAGAGCGTTGAGCATTCTACAAGCCTTAGAGTCCTTGTTTGAAAGATTAGGACAAGCAGAAAACAGAAATGAAAATTAATGCCTTATTTCTAAAACAGTTTTTTTTTTTTTTTCTTCTCTTGAAAATTGACTTTCTATTTAAGTGAGTGTCACTTTTAATTGTTTTGGTCACTATTTAAAATAATTCAAACATGTCTTATTTACCTTCAATTACTGGTACCTCACTCAGAATGGAAATGCTCAAGTAAAGTTGTGGTACCTATCTGGAGCTTAAGGACTTTTTCAAAAATGAAATAGGCATTCCCTGCTTCATAATTTCTTTGCCTACTTGCCTCTTAAATTGCTCTCAAAGTTTAGTCTTTCTTTTAATTTTTGTAAATTATATTTTGTAATTAATTTTGGATTTCTGTAAATTATATTGAAGGTGTATGTTATGTCCATCTTTTGTGAATTATGAACCTAGGAAATTCTGTCCATTGATTTTAGTGTCTGTTTTTCTAGGGAACTAAGAAGGAAGAGATTGAAGGTGAAGAGGAAGTGTCTGGTTTAATTCAGCCTGCAGAAGTGTTTGCTCCCAAAAGCCTGGTGTTGGTTTCCAGATTAGATTATCCAGAAATTTTTAGGGTAAAGAACTCATAGTTATCATTATTCATTTGTATTATTGGGTAAATCTGTTTTGAGTGAACCATGGTGTCAAGTTCTTTGTATTGAAAATATCGTTAGGTTGATTTAGGAATTCACCAATAACATAAAATTAGCATGAACGGGAGAAATACATTCTTCTTTGATGAAATAAAAACCTGAGTAAGTTAATGTGACTTTTTAAACTTCTAAGGACGTAGTATTTGTTTTAAAATAGATCTCATACTTATTGAACATGAAATTTATAAATAAAAAATAATTTGATTACCTGTAGCAAATTTAAAATACATTGGTAATTTAACATCTTTTTGTATGTTCACTCACCTTATGGGGAGTCAGTTTCAAGTAAATAATTGGACGGGTGTTTGAGATTTCAGATAATTCTGATTATACAACTGCCCACATAGCTTTAAAATATTGTTTACTTCAGATATTTTCTTTTTTAAAACACTCAGAATTTTCAAGTGTAAGGAAAAATTCTAATTTATTTATAACAATTTGTACTAATATGTAATTTCTGGAAAACTTTTCCAGAAAGTGAAATTATATCTATTTTAGAAAAATTAACTTAGTGTCAAGATTTCAATGACAGTGGGTAACTCCTAACAAATACTAATTTTTCAGAGTCACAAATTTCAATAAACTTAGAGATTTATAAAGATTGCATTTTACCTTATGTTTTACCACCCGCCTTACTCTGAGCTCAAAGTGTTAATCTTATTATCTTGTCTCTATTCTGCTATCCTTTGTTTATAAGTCACATAAATTAAATTTTTCTATAGAATAATTTATCTTGATTTATAAAAACCACAAAACAAGATAAAGTTTCTTACTTTTTATCTTGAAATCTGTAGTTTTATAAAGTACGTTGAAGCAAAAGCAATTTTAGCCCTACAGAGCTGCTAAACTAATTATCTGAGCACACCTGTTTTACAAATTATGGATTTCTGTTTTTTATAAACTCATCTCAGAAGCTCATATGGAGGTCTGGTTTTAGAGGAAAATTTAATAAACTGAATAATATTTGCTACTTAAAATGTATTCCATGTTCACTGTAGAATATAATTTACTAAGTTCAAAGAGAAATTTTTCTAGGAGCAGGTGTCACAAAAATTTATCTTTAGTGCTTCCTTTTTCCATGAAATAACTACGTACATCTTTCTCTTTTCAGGCTTGCCTGGGTTTGATCTATACTGTGTATGTGGACAGTCTGAATGTCTCCTTGGAAAGTCTCATTGCAAACCTTTGTGCCTGCCTTGTCCCAGCAGCTGGAGGGTCTCAGGTAAACAGCATAGAAAGGGAGATGGAGAGGAACTGTTCCTCTTCCCTCTCCTTTATTTAATTTAATTTATGAAGAAAGGGAAAGAGAATTCTTTTAATATTTTTGTTTTAGAGAAGATCTTAGTTTAATTAACCATTGTCCCTGTGGTCTGCCTTCTAGGCACCCAAGATTCCATTCTTTTCTTAGGTCATGAGGTTAATTTTAACATGGGGTTCACCTTTCACATAGCATAATTAGAAGTCATATTTTGTGTAACTTGAACTCTATGAAAGTACACTTTTTTAAGTGTACTTTTAAATATGCTTTCTACCTTTCTTACTCCTCTATATGTTACACGTCATTTTTATTAACTTAAATAAAAAACATTTCAGTGATAAAAATTAGCGAATAACATTGAGAAAACTCAGCACAGATCTTTGTGACATAACTGCTTCTGAATAGATTTATTTATTCTATATGTCTTAAGATTTATATATTTGTCTCTGAATAGAAAAATAAGAACCTCAGCTGCTAGGATTTATTTATTGTTTCTAGGGTAATCATGCTTGGAAAAAAATAGACTCTTAAACCCTAAAAATCATTAATTGATAATTTATTTTGCTTATTCTTATATAACATTGGAAATAGAGGACAGCCCTCTAAAAGTTATATTGTTTGTCCTCAGTCTGACAAAGACATTACTTGTAGTGAAATTGGCATCCTTTTTTCTTGCCCTTTGCCTTTTTAACTGTCTTCTGTCTTTTCCAGTGTCTTTTGTCTTAAATTTTTATATTTCTTTTTTTTCTCCTGCTCTCTCTTCCCTCATTCTTCTACCTCTGCTCCAAAGGTAGGATATTAAAATGAGTTTGGTCATGGTCCTAAACTTTAAGAGAAGGAGAATTGTTTTGTGGGCCTTTAGTAAAGTTGTTGACTTTAGCATTTTATGTGTCTCCTTTCTAATAAATTTTCAACTTTCAACTACTGAATTTTCTTGCACTATATTCATTTGTACACAAAGTAACTTGAATGTTTCTGGCTATACAGTGTTGCTCTTTGCATCTGTTAACTAGATATTATATGGTCATTTGCCCTAAAATTGAACTTCATCAAGGGTTCAGATCCCCATACTGGCCAGCCACAAAAAAATAAATAAATAAAATAAAATAAAATAAAATTGAACTTCAAAGGGATTTTCGTTTTAAGAAAATGTCTGAAATTATTTGTGTGTATGTGTATGTATGTGTGTGTTTCTTCCATTCTGCAGAAGCTGTTTTCCTTGGGTGCAGGAGATAGACAGCTGATCCAGACTCCTTTACATGATAGTCTTCCAGTCACAGGCACTAGTGTGGCTCTCCTATTCCAGCAGTTGGGTATGTCTTTTCTCCCATTTTCAATGTCTTCTTGTAGAAGCCTGTGGGGAAAAAAAGATTTATTTTAACTTCACATCACCTGACATGAATCAAGAAAATATAAAACAAACCATTAATATCTGATATATCAAATCTATAGGTTTGTGGGTCCTAATCTTATCTAGTGTTCATTCTTTTTTAAATTTTTAAGCCAGATTCTACAATCTCTCTACTTCTCTTCTCCCAGTGAAAGTTTCTACTCCTGAGTTATCTTAATTAAGTCCTAATATAATTATAGGTATTTTCTTTAATGTGTGAAAAAAGTAATCCTTCCCTGGTGGTACTTACTTCTCCAAAGAACATCTTGTTGATTAAATCCCCCTCCTAAACTTTTGTAAAAAAAATTTAGGGGTTCATGGACTACCTGAAGCTTTTCCATGGTCCCCACTAACCATTGACTTAATTGCTTTTAGCCAAGCACCATTCACTTGACTGTTCTACTTTTATAAGGGGCTGTATACCTCAAAAGGGGCAATGAAAGCAAAGATTTACCATGAAGAGGAATAGAAAGGTATGACACAAATAAAATTAATTCATGTACCCAAATGCTACCATTTCTCTTTAACTTATTGATTGAGAATTTGGGGAGTGATGTCAGCAAGATGGTGGAATAGGAAGTTCCAGCCCTCGTTCCTGACAGAAACTGATTTAACATATACCAAAAAAATACCTATATGACCAATTCAAAATCCAGTTACCCCAGGCTTGCACAAAGCCAAGAACAGCAGCAATGAAATGGGTAAATAGAGCAATTTCCCATTACCTGTGTCAGCCTGTCTCCCAACTCTCCTCCACTTGGAGAGGCAGGGAGGAGAGAAGAGTGGAGCTTGCTTCCTGAGTTTCTGACTATTGAGTGGCTGCGGTTCTGTGTCGCCTCACTGGGAGCATGAGCAGGAACTGTCATAGTTTGGATGTCTGGCGGTGATTGGATGTGATTAGGAGAAGGCACACAACTTGAGGCTTATCCTTCAGGAGGGAGGGAGAGGATTATCCAGTGTTCTGGCTTTTCGGAGAGCTGCCTGAGTATTGGCAAAGATTGGAGGAACTGGAACTATTATTCATTGCTGATAGGAATGTGAAGTGGTACAGCTACTTTGGAACACAGTTAGACTATTTTTTAAAAACTTAAGCAAACTGTATGATCCAGCCATTCCACTCCTAGGCATTTACATAAGGAATATGATAGTACATGTCCATAAAAATATTTGTACATGAATGTTCAAAGTCATTTTATTTACGATAGTAAAAAACTGGAAACAAGCTTAATGTCCACCAGTGGTAATGGATAATTGATAATAGAAATGGATAAAAAAATCTGTGGTATATCTATATAATGGAATACTACTATGCAATACATAGAAATGAATTGTTGATACATACAACATAAATTAACCTGAAAATAATTAATTATGCAGAATGAAAACCATCAGGCAAAAAAGAATGCATATGTGTGATTTAGTTTCTATAAATTTCTGAAAATGCAGTCTAATCTATGGTGGGAAGAGAGAGATTACAAAGGGACATGAGGAAACTTTTTGGGTGAGGTTTGTGTTCATAATCTTGATTGCGGTGATGATTCAACAGGTATGTATGTAAAATTATGAAATTCTAAAAGAAAGTTGAAAGCACATATTCACACAAAAACTTGTACATGAATGTTCATAGCAGAATTATTCATTATAGTCAAAAAATGTAAACAACCCAAATGTCTGTCATCTGATGAATGGATAAACAAATTGTGGTATTTACATACAATGGAAAATTATTTAGCCATAAAAAGGAATGAAGAAGTATCGATACATGCCACAACATGGATGAATCTTGAAACATGCTAAGTGAAAAAAGCCAGACACAAAAGGCCATATCTTGTGTGATTCTGTGTATATGAAATGTCTGTCATACAGAAAGTAGATTAGTGGTTACCAGAGACTGGAGGGAGGGAGAGGGAGATGGGAAGTGCTGCTCATGGGTATGGGGTTCCTCTTGGAAGGTGTAAATTGTTCTGGAGTTAGATACTAATGATGGTTGCACAACCTTGTGACTCTACTAAAAAACACTGAATTTTCAGTACACTTCAAAAGAATGAATTTTATGGTATGTGAATTGTAGCTCAGTAAAGAAAAAAATGTTAGGACCTTGTCAAAATAATTCAAGAGCCATTTTAAAGAGGGTTGCAAGTGATCTAAGATGGTAGAATTTTAGTTTCAAAAATGACCATAATTTTAAATGATTGAAACCCACCAAATATTTTAAGATCTGCTTTAAAAAAAACAAAAACAAAAAATCTCACTTTAGACAAATTAAGTTTAACAGGGCTTAATTGAGCAAAAAAACAAATTGTGAATCGCGAAGCTGTCAGAACCAGAATAGGCTCAGAATGACTCAAAAAAACAAAAACAAAAAATCTCACTTTAGACAAATTAAGTTTAACAGGGCTTAATCGAGCAAAAAAACAAATTGTGAATCGCGAAGCTGTCAGAACCAGAATAGGCTCAGAATGACTCTGAGACTGCAGACCTGGTCAGAGAAGATTTACAGACAGAAAAAGAAAGTGACATACACAAAATGGAAGTGAGGTATAAAAGTGGATTGATTACAGCTGGGCATTTGCCTTATTTGGACACAGTTTGAACAACTGGCTCCCTGTGATTGGCTGAGACTGGCCTCCTTGTTATAGGAGTAGATTACCATCTGTTTGCACATCAAGTTAGGTTATAAGAGTAGGTTACAGTCTGTTTGCATATGAAGTTAGGTTACAGTTTACTATGTCTGAAGAAATCTTTGGGCCAAAATTAATTTAACAGATATATGAATTCATAATATTAAAATAAAAAGGAATTACCACCTACCTCAGAATATGACAGGGAACCAATTTGTTATCTTGAAAACAAATAAAAAAGGAAAAACAAATAAAAAAAGAAAATTTTTCAGAACGGAAAACAAATAATAAAAGAAAACAAATAACCCAATAATAGATGAGGGAACTGTCTCTTTTTTAAAGTATCTTAATTAATAAATGAAAAAGAAATGGTAGAAATGGAATATCATCATTTAACAACCCTAAGCGAATGAGTATCTGAGCATCGACAACTGTTACCACAAAAAACACACAAATATTATGTACCTAACCTTGGTAAATGCTACCTGCCAGAGGGAGTACACCTGAGTCTGATGACAGGAAATGAAGAAGACAGAGGAACATGTTGAACTGCACGAAGAGAATGTAATTACCAAAATCCAGGCTGTTAGCAACCGTATCAGTCAAATGTCCCAGATTCTTTAACAAATAAGGAAAGGAAAGGAATGGAGGAGGAACTTCTAGATTAAAAAAGATTTAAAGGACATCCAGTTTTTTAATAGAGTGAGACTGGACTATAGTATCTAGTGATGCACTTTGGGGTGATAAAATTGCTGATAGAAAAATTAAGAAAGTGGGTAATGTAAGAGTCAGCATGGTTGCTTATGGCAGTAGAGAGGGGTTATGATTGGGGGCATGTGAAAGGGGCTTTCACGGTTGCTGGCAAAGTTCTCTTTTTTGATGGGAGTGGTGTTTGTGAGATAATTCATTAAGCCAAATATTGATTTGTATGATTTTCTTTTTTCTTTTTTTTGGCAGCCGGCCGGTATGGGATCCTAACCTGTGACTTTGATGTTATAAGGCTGTGCTGTAACCAATTGAGTTAATAACTAGCAGCTCAGTTTTCTGTATTTGTGTATTATTTTGTAGTAAAAAGTTTTTTTAAAAGAAAAAACTTGTAAAACTGTTTAACTTTTTATGTGCACACCTATCCTCTATTTAAACAAACAAACCTTAAAAATACAATGGTGCAAGCAAATTAAAGACTTTATCCCTTCTCACATAACAAAAAGTCTAAAGGTAGGCAGTCCAGTGCTGATACATGTTGGTTCTGGGATGTCTTTAAGTATGGTATAGAAATTCTGTCTGTCCTTATCCCTGTTTATTAATCAGGAGTTTTCCCTTAGTAGATAGTGAGCTTCAAAAACTACCATGTCTTATTATTCTTTGTGTCCTCTATATCTGGCATAGTGTCTCAGGCACAGAAGGCATTGTTTATTGAATAAGTGAATGAATACACTAGCCATGAAGAAATGGCTACCATTTCTCATTAGAAGATTTTCTGTGTACAGATAAAGGGTGCCAGAGTATGTGATAACTGGTCATTTGAAGACTAGGTTTTCTTATTTTACTCTCTCTTATTTTGAGCTTAATTATCTCTTGCTTTCATATTCTAAATTCACTTTTTCAGGGAAAGAATAAGGAAAAGATAAGGAAGGAAAGCAGAAAGAAGGATGCAGTGTTGCGTGCAGAGTTGTTTCCAAAGCACGTGGTGGTGATAATTTTGTCTAACGGCATCCTCTTATCACCAGTCATTTTGGTTGGACCTTTGTTGAAGGCCAATATTAGACCATTATCAGAGTTTACTACTTGGGTTTGTAGTAGTGGATTTTACAAAGCACAGGCAGGAAGCAGATAAGACTACAAGATTCTTTTGTAGCCTTGACTAGTTTTCCTGTAAAAAGTCTAAATGTAATGATAGCATTTCCTTTGTTCTTCTCTCTAGGAATTGTTATGATAATGATTTGTTTTTCACAGTTTGAAAGGTCTCTGTGTTTGCCTGAAATAATTATGTAGACTTCTGTCTCACTCCCCATAATTTCCTGTTAATCACTTTCATCTCCTTCTTACCATCTTTTTGATTTGATTGTTTTTGTTGCTGTAGTCTATGAGAAGTATTTTTGTTTACCTGAAGATTTGTACTTTAAGTGTGGGAAATAACGATGTTATTCTTTATGTTAATCGGATTGTGTTCACTGGAATTGGTTTTTAATTTAATTTAATTCATACCTGTTTCACTTGGGTGTCCCTTCCTGACTCAAATAATCTTGTAAAATTCTCTCGACATCTTTTGTCATACCCGTTCACCTAAAATTTGGATTTTAATTGCAAACACACTAATTTTAGTATATTTACTCCCCAGTTTTCACAGTATACCCTTTATTAGATATTTTTTAAGTTAGTGACTGAAATATTTCTGGGCCTTCAGCTATCATCACTCAGTTTCCATAGTTAAACCACATTAACCTTGTACTATCTGTGTTTATACTTTTTATATGGATGCTATCTTTTTGCTTACCATATTAACTTTAGCCACTTTTTCATTAACTATTATTTGGTTAGTATTTCTCCACTGATTCTCTCTGATACTAAATATAGATTTTTTTTTAAAGTTATTAAAATAGCGAAAGTTTTTTTTAACTTTATTTTATAAACATTATTTTTACTTTGTACATAAAAATCCTTAAAATGTTGATTGTGGCTGTACCATATTAATCAGAAAATCATTTCTATTTTTAAATGTTTTAATGGAAAACAGTTGGTATTCTCACTTTTGTCTCCCGTGGAAAACCTTTTATATACAATAATATGTAATTATTCTTGAGGTGATGTGAACTTTCATAGGAACATTAAAAATAATTTATATTCCTAAACTAGAAAGATGGAAAGATGCCACAGGAAAGAATGAAGGCTTAGGATGTGCAAAATTGTTTTCTTTGAAGGTTGCACTTCTAAGAAGCATATGTTGATTGGTAAATTTATGAACCACCCGATTAATGTGTCATTTGATTTTCATCCTTTTTCCTTAAATGATCAAAATCTACTACCTTGGATCATGTTTCTATCTTCACTTAGTTTTCTCAGCTTATTCATATAGCATTATTACTGGTGTTAGTCTTATTCTCCCTTATAATGGAAAAAAATGAAGTAGTCATTTTCTTTCTCAATATGTGATTTTAAAAATATAATTTGAGAATTTGAGTTTACACAAGAGTTTAGACTATTACTATGAATGGTGTGCTCTAGGTAGAAAAGGAAGAAATAGGAAATATAATGCTTTCCTGTATCTATATCTATGATTTGACAATTTGAATACCAGCTATGTTCTTTGGGAATTCGAAACAAATTAAATCTCCTCACTAGTCTGTTTTGGAGCACTTTTCTGAAAAAACTGCTTATCATGTGTACTTTATGCTGGAGGCCTAAGAACTGTTACAATTTAATTTCTTGTAATAAATAGCACAAGAGTCTATAATAAAGTCCTCATAATGCCAGCCTGCTTATATAATGCTTTATATAATGGCAGAACTATGTTTTTTCCATCAAATGTACAAAGCCGTTACCAAGTACCAATAAAGATCTACAAATCACAGCCCTTATCCCAGATGTACTTTTAGTCTAGCAGAGAAATGGTTACATTTTTAAAATTATTGTACAATATAATAGCACAATAATAGAGATACCAAGAGCAAACTCTTACTAGTTAGAAAAGTGAAAGAAGAGCATTCCAGAAGGAAAAGCATGTACAGGGAGTACAGGCAGTACAGGGAGTCATGAAAGGCCTTCATGGAATAGTAAGGTGTTTGATGAAGCCAGAGCATAGGGGTTCCAGGAAGTAGTCAGAATGTTATAAGAAACTGATTGCTTTTCATTTTAAAATTAAAGGTTAAATAATTATGCTAGTTCTGTAAAGGAACGATTTTTAAAAAACCAGACACACAGTCATTGACTGAGTCCTTGTTGACTATTGTACTATGCTTGCTACATGATATAATTTGAGGACAGTTCCGAAGGATCCTGATTCAAAACTATCCTGCTCATTGTCCTTTTATGGCACTTAAATGCTATTATAAAATAGTTCTATCTTTGCATTGAGTTATCCTTTACATAATGCAAATATTCTAAGGCAAGATAGCCATTAACTGTTGTTCTTCATTGTCACAAAGTTCTCTCGTCAAAAATTTCAATTTATTCTTCTAGCACTTTAGAGATTACTATTTTTATAAAATATGGGTATTCTAACATTTAAATATACAGTTTCTAAATGGTACAGGATAAATTATCCTCTTTTCTGTGCTCTGTAGCATTTTGTACATATCTCTGTTCTGTTGTGATTTATTTATTTACCAATCTGCCATCTTCACTGAACTATGAGCTCCTAAGAGCCAGACACAATTTTCTTTATATTCATCCCTAGAACTTAGCAGTTTCTGATATATCTCAGTAGTTTGGTAATGATTTAATAATTGAGGAAGAGAGAAAAGGGGAGAAGAAAGGAAAAAGTTTTAATTGAAAGAGTTATTTCTCCCAGGACAATTCCCTCCTGTCTGATCCTTTCATAATTCTCCAGTTTCTTTATATTATCCTTCCCCATTGTTTGCTGCTCTACTTACAAGGCTCCTTTTGCTTCCTCTTTCTTAAATTTAGAATTAAAAGTAGATTAAAAACCTGGTCAATCAGAATAGGCACAGACTAGGGATCTGGGCCATTCAGGGTTGGAATAATCTGATGTGATTACTCTAGATACAGAAAACTAATTACAGTGCTCCAGAAGGAAGGAAATGTGCTGTGTAGCTTTTTACAGTTTTGGTCGAATTGGCCTTTTATGGATTGCTGTTTGGGATGTACACACTTTTATATTTGAATTCTTTGTGGTCGTATGTGTTTGGTAATTGACTTCTTATATTTAGAGGTTCCCACATTGCTAAGCTCTATTTACGTGTGTAAAATGTATTTAATTTATGTCTCACTCAAAAGGATAAGCCTGTGTTTGTAACTACTAAACTATACCCACTTTCAATTACCCAGTTCAGCCACACTTCTTAATTATTTTTTTACTTAGAAGATTTGCCATATCTAACGTTTTTGGAAATAATATGCTAAATTTGTAACAAATAGTAAACACTGCCTCTCAGTGATAATTATGAAACCATATATAAAGCTTTAGTTAATTAGTGAAGTTAGGGATATTGTCCTTCCTCACTGCAATATTCCAGTGCCTGGAGCATAGTAGACGCTTAATAAATATTGGTTGAATGAATGAGAAACCAAGTCTTTCATGACGTTTATTAAGCCATGACCAGTAGTATATTGTTTTCTCCATTGTGGATCGACCAGAAAGAACTATAGTAAATTCTGCAAGGCTTTCTGAAATTTATCCTGTCTTGAAAGGATGACCTTTATTTCTTCAATTTACCCATTTGAAATCTGAGACATAGTATTCTATTTGTGCAACATATCATTATTATTCAGAGAAGGGGAGGATTCTAGAAAAAGGTTTGTTTCCCATCCCCACCTCCCCCCAAGCAGGAAACAAATACATTTGTTAATATTTGATGCAATGAATTTTAGAACTCTAACCCCTCAAAAAAATTGAGATCAGGAAGTAATTTTTCAGAATGTTTTACTATTTGAATGGTCAACAGGATGTGTATGAATACGTACCATCATAGTGAAATCAGTAGTAATTATCACTAGAATGTTTTTCATATTTTCTCTTCTTCTGTTATTGTGCAGCATTGGATGGATGTTGGGCTACAGAAGACTAGGAAACAATAGGGTTATGTGGGAAACTGATTATGACTTAAGAAACTCAAACAAATTGAATTTCTACATAACCATGTGGCTATGAGCACAGCAACAAGCATTGCCACCTTTGGAATAAAAATCTTTAATGTAACTTCTTAAAATACTTGAGATTATTAATTATGTAAAACTTAAGAAAGCACGTGACATTTAAGGATACAGAATTTAAGTAATACCTCAATTTGGCATGAGTAAATTGTTCTATATTGCACTGTTAATTTTCTGGATAATGAAAAACTTACCCTTTAAGCACTAGAATATTGTTCCTAACTAATTTCTAAATTATGAGGCATATATCCTGTTTTAGTAAGTACAGTGTAATATTTTGCCCCTTGATAATGTAACCTGGTTGTTTTTAACCTATCTAGGTAGGGTAGTCTCTTACAACTGCATGCCTTCCTTCACAATTTATGTAATAATAAACAATGCTGACTATGAATTTTATTTTCTGATGAACTACTTGTGAATGGGTTATTTTTTTGTGGGGGATGGCAGAGAGTTCAGATAGGAGCAGAGAGGGACAAGTTCTTCCCTAGAACCTTCATGAAAAAAGTCTGGACTCCTCATTATAGCATACAAATTCTTCATGAACTTGTCCTTGTAATAGTCACTTGTAGGTATGTTAATGCCTTTTGCTTCCTCAGTCCTCCTGTTTCTTTGCACATGGTCTTCTGCCAGCTTTGAATGCTTTGCTCTTCTTGTCTCCCTAACTAAGTAATGCTTATCCTTCAAAATCCAACATATGAGTCAGTTCTTTTAGAAATCTTCTACACCAGGTGGGCCCGGTGTAATCACAAAGGCCCTTAAAAGATGGAAGAGAGGGGCAAAAGAGTCAGTGTCAGAGTGATATGAAGTGAGAAAAACTTGACTGGCCATTGTCAGCTTTGCAAATGGAAGGTAGCCATGAGCTAAGGAATGTGGAAAGTCACTAGAAACTGGAAAACCCAACAGTAGGACTTCTGACCTCCAGAACTGTAAGAGAATAAATTTGTGTTGTTTAAGCCACTAAGTTTGTGGTAATTTGTTACAGCAGTCATAAGAAATTAATATATTCAGAGACTTATTTTTTATTACTTTTTGTTTTTAAATAGTTTGACTTACAAGAAATTGCTAGATTAATACACAGTGTCCTCATGTATATATACCTTTCCCCAACAATAATATCTTACATAATTGTGGTACATTATAAAAACCAGAAATAGACCTTGGTATAATACTGTTAATTCAGGGAGAGAGTGACACTTTTCTGAGTATACATTCTTGACAGTTTTGGCTTCTGGAAGTATGCTTATGTCTTACACAAATTCAGAAAACAAAAGTACATCAATTAGGATGAGAAGAAAGGAAAAAGAAAG